AGGATACTGGGGACTTGGAGGTGTGTGATTGGGTGGGGTAAGAAGAGGCTCAGGGTAGGGCTCTCTCTCCCCTCTTTTCTCTTCTCCTCCCTCCCCCATGCTGCAACCTGAGGGTGGAGTTTGGGGGGGGCATACTTTCCCAGTCTGGTGGCAGGCAAGATGAAAGAGCCCCAGGCCTGTTAGCTGCACTTAGTGGTGCAGCTGCCTCCAGTGACCATTCAGTATAGCTCTCCCCTTCATTCACTGCCCTCAGTGGCCACTCTCAGTTTCATGTCCCTCCTCTGCGCCCTTTCCATGTTAGGGAAAATGATCCCATTCCTAGCACTTCCCATGTTCTTGGCACAATAAAACCCTGACCTTCACTTATTTTCAGATAAGAGGAAACTACATACCAAATTTGATCTTATCTCTTATAGTTTAGGAGGAGTTCATGAAAAAATAGACTCAGGCTGTGTCTAGACTACGTCCCTCTTTTGACAGAGGGAAGTAAATTAGACACTTCGAAATTGCAAATGAAGCGGGTGTTTAAATATCCCGTACTTCATTTGCATAATTGCATCATAGTGCTCTTTCGAAAAAGCGCCATTTTGAAAGTAAAACTGCAGTCTAGATGCGGTTCTGTCAAAAACGGCAGACTTTTTCGTAAGATAAGCCTGCTGTTTGACAGAACTGTGTCTAGACAGTGTTTTTACTTTCAAAATGGCACTTTTTTGAAGGCACCATGACACAATTATGCAAATGACGTGTGGATATGTAAACCCCCGCTTCATTTGCAATTTTGAAGTTTCTAATTTACATCCCTCTGCCGGAAGAGGGATGTAGTCTAGACACAGCCTCAGACAGATCTATATTTCTAAAATATATAGCTAGACTCTACGGAAACTAAAACTTAGTTTAGGCCACCAAATGCCTTTTAGTCATCCAATGAAATAATCCTAGAGTGGCCCTTTGTGTATCATGTTATCTAAAACTTTGGATCTGGGCCAGAATTTGACCAATATGTGCTCTATGTAGCCCTACAAATGACACTTCTTGTAAATGGCATTACTATTTCTCTGTCTCTTTGACAAGACATGCATGGCAAGGATGCCTGCTTTTGGTGCTGCTGTTAAATGTGGCATTAGAACTGAAAATAGCCCTTATGTCACAGTACTAGCAATTTTTTTACATGCCTAGTTGACTTTAAAATTAATGAACCTAATAAAGCAGCCTGTTCAGATTTGGGATATAACACTTTTACTAAATCAGAAGCTTTCTTTTCTTCTGACTGAATAAAATATCTTGGAATCAAAGTTCCTTCAGATATCAAATTGCAAAATTTCATGTTCAACCACCAGTTCCCAGCAAATGGGTATGCCTCCTTAGAATACTTGTGGGAAAAGATGCCTTATCAAATCACTGTTTTTCCTCTTCCTCCCAGCTCCTGATGACCATGTAAAAAGATGTTGGGATCAGATATTCTATTTCATAGTAATCACTAATAATCCCAATTTTCCTATAAGAATGGGAGGTTCAGGCTATGTCTAGACTATGGGGAAGATGTGAAAGAGAATATGCAAATTCTGCGGGAATTCTGTGGGAATTTGCTTATCTTCCAAACTCACTTTCGAAAGCAGAGCTTTCAAAAGTGAAAGTAATCTAGGCGTGTTTTTTTTCCGCCAACCCCTCCCCCTTTTTTTTCGAAAAGCCGTGTAAATCTTATTTTTTGAGGTAAAGGGGCGGGGGGTTGCCAAAAAACACATCTAGATTACTTTCACTTTCCGACAGTAAGATTGGAAGAAGATATGCAAATTCCCACGGAATTTCATATCTTCTTTCAAATCTTCCCTATAGTCTAGACGAGCTGTTAGTGTTTACAAAGAGCAAGTATAGAGGGGTTAATTCTAGTTAAAAACATTTGCCAATGGTTATCACAGAGTGGTGTCCAAGATACAATAGGTTTCTTTGAAACATAGAGTAGGAAATGTTTATTGCAGAGGCGTGATATTTGACTTTTAAATGGTGTGCATAGTTTATATAGATCTTAACAGTACTGATAATCTAAAAATGGAAGACACAATCCTGCATTAAATAGCTTTGTAAAGGTATAGTAACAATGCAATTGCTCGGAGCTGGGTGTGAATGTTGGTGTGTATCAGCTTTGTACAATAAGTGAATTTTTATGTTTCGAAGGAGAGCTAAGGAACTTGGCAAATATTGATTGGGATGCTTCTTAAACACAGGAGGAATAAAGGAGCAGGATGAGCAATAGGTAACGGTAAATCCAACTAAGGGAGTTGGGTGGAACATGGGTACAGGGGAAGAATGGATGAAGAGAAACAAGTGAGAATTGCTCACAATCCAAGATGAGAAAGCAGTATCCTCCTGGGTCAGTTCCACAAACTAAGCTATGGTCCGGTCCACCCATGGAAAAATCAGGATTCCTTGAGGAAGAGTGAATAACAATGAGAAAGAAGGCACGAATATTAGAATAAGGGTACGTCTAGACTACAGGCTTTTGTCGACAGAAGTTTTGTCGACAGATACTGTCGACAAAGCTTCTGTCGACAAAGAGCGTCTAGACTACATTCAGAACTCTGTCGACAAAAGGCGTGATGCCTCGTAAAATGAGGTTTACCAGCGTCGACAAAACTACTGAGTTCTGTCGACGTTATGTTGACAGAACTCAGCGGTAGTATAGACGCAGGTATAGTTTTGTCGACAAAAGTCCACTTTTGTCGACAAAACTCTGTAGTCTAGACACACTCTAAGAAAGCAGAAAGGACACATCTGACTGTGAATGATGGATGCAGGAGTAGGCTTAGAGAAGGTTAGGGGAAGATATGGGGATTTCAAACTACATACTGGGTCTGATGGTTCAGGTTTCACCATTTTAATGGTATATTGACTTCTAAGCCTAGTGGTGACCGAGTAAAAGCCAGTCTTAGTTACTTTGCTGCTGGTTTGGCTAATATGTTCAGCTTCACTACAGAAGTATTTGTCCAGTCCATGTAGTCCTAGAAATAAAGTGTGAATAACTCTTAAATATATAGTTAGTTGACTATTCAGTTCAGGTAATCAGAGTGTTTGATTTTTCTTTCAGCCATTCAAAAAATAAAGGTGTGTGTTTGTTTACCATATCACTGACTGAAATATATTAACTCATTCAGACTCTGATACTCTATTTTTAAGGCATGGATTTTTGTATGATGCAAGATATTAAAATTGAATCAAAATATAAGGCAATCTAATGACCACACACATGCCCCTTGTTGGGGCTTTAAAAAAATTCCCTGACAAAATTGCAGCATCAAGATTGTTGAACAAACATGACAAGTCAGGAAATTCAAGGCTCAATATTCTTATTCACCTGAAACCTGTGAAGTCTGGCAGATGCACTTCCCAGATGGAGTTTACCCAACTCATAACCTTCCCATCTCTCTCATGCCCATCCCCCTCACTCTCACACATACAAACCTGCCAAGACCCCAGCCAGCTCTCCTACCCCCCCTCCCCCCGAGGCTGGAGCATTAGCCCCATCTTCCTGCTGGTGAGGAGAGAAATTCCCCCAGGGAAATGGCAGAACACAAACACACTGCCTGGAGGCTTTCCCCACTGCTCCCATTGACCAAATTGCAATCAGTGGGGGCATCGGGAGGCTGTGCTCCCTTATCTCTCTCATGCCCAGACCCGGTACCCTCATCCCCCCCAAAGAGGAGAAACAGAGTGCTACATTAGGAGGGCTGCATTGTGAGCTCATGGGGTGATTATCAGACTGTTTGTCTGTCTGCTATGACCATTTGTGTGACTGGAGCTAGTTTCAGGGACTGTTGACCCTGTGTGTGTGTTTTGACAACTGAATTAGGAGTGCTTTGTTCCAGGTGGGCCTTGAGGAGGAAGGTTTTGAGCTGGGCCAACTGCTTTCAGCCAGCAGCCTTATAAAAAGCATCCAGTTGCAAACTGAGAGTGAGTAGCAAACAGAGAGTTTGCTTGAGGATTCTCACAGAGTTTTTGTGCCTTTCAGGGTTCTGTGAGAAGTACATACAGCATCTTAAGAGGTTCCTAGAAGGGAAGACAATATGGATAATATGTGATCAGTTGTTGTAACCTGCACAGGATGTGCCGTGTTTGGCTTTCTCCCAGAGAATAGGTGTGACTTCATCTGGATGAAGTGCAAGCTGTTCTCCATACAGGGAGAGAAGGTTAAAGTATTTGCATCAGAGAAAATGTGGACTTTCTGGATAGATGTTAGCGTTTGTTCTTGCAGGCACGTCATACTGAAGAATCAGAGGACAGTGCAGTGTGGGGAGGAAAATTGTCAGCATGTGATCTCAGAAGAATTCATGTACTCCCCAGTGCAGACAGAGGTAAGAGATAGTTTTCAGTCTCTCTGCCAATGTACTATGGTGGAGAAGGGTTGGAAGATTCTTCTGAGGAAAGATGTTGGAAGAAGACCCCACTGACCAGAAAGCATGGGATGGATTTTCCTAAGGGTAGGAATTCTATGACCAAAATTCCCAAGAGGAAGAGACAAATTGTGGTCAAGGACTGAGGCATCCTTCTGCCATCCAGAACCGGAAAACTGAAAGTGTGCTGCTTGCCTGGAGCTAGAATTCAGGATGTCTGCTGGGGCTGATCAAGCTATCAGACTGCTATCCCTTCTACTTCTCCATGTGGGCACCAATAACACTGCCAATAATGACCTTGAGCAGGTCTTTGCAAACTATGTAGCCCTGGGAAGGATAAAGGAGTTTGAGATGCAAGTCATGTTCTCATTCATCTTCCCTGTTGAAGGAAAAGGCCAAGATAAGGACCATTGAATTGCGGAGGTAAATGCATGGTTGTGTAGGTGGTGTCAGAAAGAGGACTTTGGATTTTTTGACTTTGGGATGCTATAGGACCAAGGATCAGTAGGAAGAGATTGGCTTGACCTAACAGAGGGAAGAGTATCTTTGTAGGCAGGCTTGCTAGTTTAATGAGAGGGCTTTAAACCAGGTTCTCCTGGGGATCGTGACTTAAGCCTTTGGATAAGTGGGATACCAGCCTTTGGATAAGTGAGATGGAGGGTGCAACAGGAGAGGCCTCCTGATTCATACTGAAAAAGTAGGACAGTTGGCTAGTTATCTTAGGTGCCTGTATATGAACACAAGAAGCCTAGGAAACAAAAATTGGAAGTCCTGGCATAGTCAAGTAACTATGATGTGATTGGAATAAGACTTGGAGTAATTCACATGACTGGAGTACTGTCATAGATGAGTATAAACTTTTGAGGAAGGAGAGATGGGGGAGAAGAGATAAAGGAGTTGCAGTATGATTGCGCAGAGATCCAATATGCAAACAGAGAAAAGCCTGTTGAAAGTCTTCGGGTTAAGACTTGAAGTGAGAGCAACAGGAGTGATGTCATGGTCAGTGTCTGCTATAGACCAGAAGGTTAAGATAGAAGAGGATTTCTTTGGTCAATTAAAAAGTTTCCAGGTCACAGGCCCTGGTTCTCAGGGACTTCAATCAACCAGACATCTGGGAGAGCAATGCAGCAGTGCATGCCCAATCCAGGAAGTTTTTGGAGAGTGAGGACTATTTCCTGGTGCAAGTGTTGAAGAAACCAGCTAAAGGTCATGATCCTCATGACCGGCTGCTTACAAACAGGGAAGAATTGGTAGGGGAAGTATAAGTAAGTGGTAACCTGGGCTACATCTATACTTCAGGCTTCTTTTGGAAGAAGCTTTTCCAGAAGAGATCTTGGAAAAGCGCATTGGAAAAAGTGATCTGCTTTTTTGAAAGATAGTGTCCAATCAATGTGGACACTATCTTGCGTTTAAGTTGTGATTACTATGGACAGAGTGGCCACTAGGGCACCTGTGCTTTTTCCTGTAGGCTTCTTTAAAAAAAAAAAAAAAAAAAAAACCCTCTTCAGCATCCACCCTTTTTTGGAAAAAGGCTTCTTCCTCCTAGAAAAAGATTTACCGTTGTTGGTAAAACCCCTGCATTCTTTCAATTAAATAACACAATTGCAGTGTGGACATAAGTGTAGTTTTTCTGGAAAAATGGATGTTTTCTGGAAAAACTCTGCAGTGTAGATATATCCCTGGATTGCAGTGATCATGAGATTATAGAGTTCAGGATCTTGGCAAAAGGAAAAAAGGAGAACAACTGAATATGAACCCTGGACTTCAGGAAAGCAGAGTTTGGCTCCCTCAGTGCAGGATTCCCTGGGAGGCTAATATGAGAGGGAAAGGAGTCCAGGAGAACTGGTTGTATTTTAAAGAAGCCTTATTAAGGGCACAGAACCAAACCAAATGTGCAGAAGAATAGCAAACATGGCAGGCAACCTGCTTAGCTTAACAGAGGGAGGCATATAAAAAAACATTGCCCAAGGATGCAGAGGTGTATCAGGAAGGCCAAAATGCAACTGGAGTTGCAGCTAGTAAAGGTTTCTACAGGTAAAATAGCAACAATAAGGTGATCAGGGAAAGTGTGGGACCTTTACTGGAAACCTAGTGATAGAAAATGTGGAAAAAGCTCAAAAGTTAGAGAAGGAACAGGGCATGCTCTGGGAAGGGGGGCAGGGATTGGCAGAGTGTTTGAGGGAAGGGCTGAGACCTGTTTGAGAGAAGGGAGGGGAGGGTCAAACATCCCTTGGTAAAATGGGGTGCAAGTGTAACCCACACACCTACTAGGTGTGGTTGCCTGTCCCGTGTAGTGTCAGAGGCAGGTTCTGGTTGGGAGGTGCTTACCTAGATGGCTCCTAGCTAGCAGCTTTGCAGGACCCCAAGGCAGGCCTGCCAGCAGTCCCAGACAACTCAAAGTGGCTGGCTGCTTCCTCTCACTGGCTGCTCTGGGTGCTCCAGCCAACAAGAGCTGAGAAATTGTGTTGGGGGTGGGGGCAGCATGTGAAGACTTGCCCCCAACCCCTGGCCTGAAGCAGAGCTATTAAAGTGGTGCGGGGCTGCTCTGAACTTGAGGCTCCCAGCAGGACAACCCACAAGCCAGATCTGTCAGCTTGGTGGGCTAGATCTTACCCACCCCTAATCTAAATGAAACTTAAAATAGATTTTCTTTAAAATCATCAGTAAGAAATATCACTGGCAGTTTTCAAACAAACATTTATGTGTGTTCTAAGTTAAAATATATAATCTCATGTACTTCTATTGCATCCTCCTGGTTATACAAAATCTAGTTTTAAAGGTATATTTAGTTTCAAACATACAGTTTTAGTGGTTAAACTAACCATATAAAAAGAACCTTTGTTTAGGAAAGTAAAAAATACAAATGCAAAACAAGATTCAACTTGATGACGTGAATCAAGATTTCTTGCTTGCAGACTTAAACCTTGAGTAAAACTGGTGATTTTTAAATGTTTCTGCCATGGCCTTGGTACAATATATTAGTTGTCTAGTGAGGGATAAACCCTGTGCATTTGAAAGGTACATCTGCACAAAAGTTGGGAGCAGTGTTCCCTCTAAGCTGCAAGGCAACACAGCTTCACAGGTGATTAATCAGTCCCACCCAGTCAGCCAGCTCCTGCATGGAGCCCTGAGCCCCTGACTGGGCGGGGCTGATTAATCACCTGTGAAACTGTACTGTAGCACAGCTTAGAGCAAACACTGGTTGGGAGGTGTAACTCTTGCTACATATACTTTCTCTTCTAAGCCAGTGCACTAAAATTAGCAGTGTAACTTTCGGTAAAGGGTGATGGCTAGGTCAGCCTGCTGCCTATGTAGCCAAGGTATCGCTGTGAATTATTACATTAGTTTGAGCATGTCTACCTAACGTGTGAATTACTCCTTTGTCATGTTATTGGATTCTAAAGGTGGGGGAGGAAGGTGTTTGCCCCAAAAGTTGGTATATGAGGTATCAAATGAAAGCTTATGTTCTACTGATTCTGTATATGCTATTTATGTACTTGTATAATATCTGTATATGTACTCTGGGTTGATGCTGGAAAATTCTCTGTTTGAGGCAGAGCAATGTGCCACCTATGTTCATTCAATGGCTATGCTAATTAGTGAGGCTCCATGGACAATAGATCTCTAAGTGCCAGAGACACGCCTGAAGGAATGTGTCTGGCTACCTGCAAACCAGTCAGGGCATAATGGCTGCAAGCATGTGAAACAAGGATAGACCGTGTGACCTGCTCTGGCCAGGAGAGCTATCTAAGTGCCAAATGGCAATCTCCATCTAGCCTTGAGTTCAGCTCCTGATCCCAGATGCAGCCTTGCAGGGAACAATGAGTCAGGAAGAATCGTGGAGCCGTCCTGACATAGGATGTACACCAGAGACTTTTAAGATAGCAGAGATGTTATAAACTGGTAAGAGCCTGTATCGAGAACTGGGTTATTCGATGCATGTAATATATTCTCCTTAACTTTACTCTCATGCTTTTCTTTTGTTTAGTAATAAACCTTTAGATTGTAGATTCTAAAGGATTTGCTCAGTGTGTTCTTGTGGGCAAGATCCAGAGTGTAAATTGACTGGGACCTGTGGCTGGCTTCTTGTGACAGGAAGAACCTGTTCGGGGTAGGTGAGATTGGGTTCTATAACCCTTCACCTGTGTGTTAGGCCTGGGGCTGATTGGGGCACAGGAAGAGCTGGGGTGTCGGCCAGATTGGCAGCTGAAGTGCTCGGTGTGACTAGTTTGTGGCCTATTTGGGAGGGTCCCTGATCTGGGGCTGTAAGGAGCCCCGAGTCTGAGCAATTCGCCCTGAGTGGATGCCCTCAGCTGTGCCCAGACCTGGCTTGGTCTGTCACAGCCTCCCACAGCAACTTCTGACCAGGATCCATGTCTGCAGGACCTGCCAGCTAAGAAACTCTAAACAAAAAGGGCTGTCATTGCCTGGGAAGGATTTCCCTTCAAAAAAAGAGCTTACTGGCACCATCCTCATTTGACTGACAGGTGCCAGACTTGTCTTACTGGAGGTGTCCCAAGGAGCTAAGGCATCTATGCAGCTATGCCCTCCATCTGCTCAGAAGCCAGCAGCAAGATGGCCATCCCAACATCAAAGGAACTGGCAGCACTGCAGGTGCTTGCATCTTCAGTGCCCTCATCGCCAGCACTGAAGGAGCCTTCCGTGCAGAGTCCATGCCGCCAGCACCATAGGTACATATAGTCACTGATCTGGTACTGACAATGGCACTGAGTTTCTCCATACTGAGGTCACTTACTTTTTACATGGGCTTGGCCATATCTTCGGTACTGGACGCTCTCATTTTCAGTAATAATGCTATTCCTATGCACGGGGGCCTACCAAATCAATAAAAACAACACTGTGACCCACCCTTTTCAAATGATGACGTGATCATTCTCACCCCTTATTCATCTCCCAAACCTACTACACAGCCTCAACCACCTCGGATTCCAGGACAAGTCTGGCAGCCATTTCCACCTATTCCCCTTCCTACCACTTGGCTAGGCTGGGACCATGGGCCCTCTCTAGAACACAACAATCTGCTCCTTTGCAGGCAGTGATCCACAGAGGCAAGAACTCTTCTCTCTGCCCCATCTGGACACACTCCAACAAGATATAGAAGGGCTGGAAGATGTACAAGAAGTTGACACCATGCCTCTTACACCTCTGTCATCATCATCACTAAATGAGACTATTGTGCCCCCAATCCCTGTTATGGGAGATGACTTCAAATCCTTTTAAGACTTCTTTAAAAGGGCAGCAGATTCATTGGACATCTCTCACAGAATTACCTAAAACACAGCATAAACTGAATCTAGCAAACCCCTGCATCCATCCTGCTGCCTTCTAAGTGAGCAGACTGAAAGAATTATGTGCTGGCCAAAGCAGCTGAATTCCTCTTTTCTCATCCTGCACCAAATTCTCTAGTCATAGAGGTGGTACACCATACAGGTAAGCAGGCTCAGTTTAAAACAATCCTCTATGACAAGGATTGGAAGAGGTTAGATATTTTCGGTAGAAAAGCATACTTTGTCTGCTTCCCTGAAGTTCTGCATTGTGAACTACTAGGCTGTGTTGGCAAAATAAACCTAGAGCTTGTTTGAGAAAATGAGGCTGTTTATTGTCTGGTAATTTTATCAATAGATTCGTACAAAGCAAACATAGCAGAGGGATCACTGAGGGTAAGTCTACACTAGCTCGTTAATTTGAGCTAGGTAGGCAAATCAGGGAACCGGAGTTGCAAATGAAGCCCGGGATTTAAATATCCCGGGCTTTATTTGCATGTCCCCGTCCGGCCGCCATTTTTAAATCCCCCTTAGTCTGAACGAACTGCCTGCGGCTACACGCGGCAGTTTAAAGTTAATCCATAGAACTAATTTGTGAATATGACTTTTCTGCAAGTTCCACCTTTTTCCTGTGTCTGTTCCAACACTGACTGGGAGCAAGCAAACTTTTATATCAACTGGCTGTGTGCAGCTGGCGCTATCTTCAGGCTCTGCAGTTTTCTGGATCCTGAGCCACCTTTTTCGAATACAGTGCTGCAGGCATCTCTAGACTCTGCCCTTTGTCTGTTTGTTTGATGGAATCTTCCATTCTCTAGCAGTTCTTCTGTAGTCACTTTATATAGTAATTAGCAGAAGCCATATCTAAAGACACTTAAAGCTAGAGTAGGCAGACCCCTAGAAAATATTCTACAGCAGGAAAAGTCTTAAGGCTTCATCCTGCAGCCTTGGTCACATGAGTGCAGATTCCAGGATAAGTCCTGTGCACTGTAAATCTCACAAAAGTAAGGCCTAACTCATTCATGAAGTACATTGAAATCTTTATAGAAGGGCCCAATACTATTTTAGGAGGATGGGACTTTGACTAAGACTGAAGTCTTATTCCACTTTATAGTAAGATTGTATCAATTTGTCTGGTTTTGGTTTTTTGTCTTTTCTTCTGATATATATATTGTAAATCTTTGCTAAAAGTATGTTTAAAATATCCTTAAGATAGGTTTTGATCTCATGTCAGAAGTCTTCCTAGCACATTTGATGGGTTCAATCTTGGAAAGAATTGTTCCTTTCTCCCTGTCCACTTTCAAAGTGAAATTGGCTAAGTTGCCAGTGGGTGAAAATGTCAGATGTCAGAAAACACTTGTGACTATTTCTGGAGCGAGAACTTAGTAGAAGTCTCCCGTGCTCTGCTTTATTTACAACATGCTTGAAAAGAAGATGAAATATGACTGATTTTTAACACTGCTCCTTACTGTTTAACACACAGAGTCCCCTTTAAGCAATTCTAACATTTAGGGAAAAATAACTTGCAGGAGTCATGTAAAACTCAGTTTTATAAAACCTGTCAGATATTACAGTTTTTTTGCTACTAATTTGTCTATAAATAATCTTATCTACTGACATTTAAAAACTCTTGAGGTTGGCGTCTCTTTGTATGTTGTTGGAGCTGCATTCTGGAGACCCAGGCTTTATAAATTGTTAGGCTCTGGGGCAACTATCCCTTTTCTCCTCCCTTGGTGGCCCTGTGCTTTCATGTGTTTGTATCACTTACTTGAGAGAGTCTGAAACTTCTGTTGATGAACAGGAAGTTGGGATGTAGTTATGTCTGATTCTTGTTTTTCAACATATAGCTCTAGCATGTCATGTGATGACTCTGGCTGTATTAGATTTATTGACTTTCTGTTGTGTCTGCTGCCCTCCAGATTTAAACTTCATAAGCAAAGAAAAATACTTTTAAACCTCAGACTTATTTATATCCATTGTTGGATGGAGAAGAGAATAGGCCAAAGTTTAAACCTTCAGGAAAGAGCTTTAGTAATGTTTTTTCCCAACTTCTCTACCCAAACTTGTTAATTTCTTTTCCTCAAAGTAAATCTGAGGTAAAGGTATCAATGCTATTAAGTAAGTTATAATGCTATAGTAAGTTAAGATAGTCTGACACTTATTCTTGTATAGGTTGCACCTCCCTTAACTGGGA